CCAAAAAATTCAGATATCCATTATAAAACAAATTGCAAATAGTAAAATTTTGTATTCGTCTAAAGCGAAACAATTCATAAATACTAATTTTAAAAATCATAATATCCGCTCCGATCCGTATATTATTATATATACATATAATATGGTGAATTTGTAACATATATTTTCATTTTAAGACATTAAATAATGAAACAATAACTAGTATTTACTTATTTTTTTTAAATAGTGAAAAATGAAACATATTTTTTTCTTCAACTTTTCATTTTTTAAAAATTATATCAAATAAAATTATATAATTTATTCATTAATTAGTTTAAATATTATATTAAAACAAATTTTAAATGATATTTTAATTGTTATTTTTTTGTTTGAAACGAATATTCGCAAATATCTAGAAAAAAATCAGAATATCCGCAATTCCGGATATCTGAAATTTTTTGAAGCGAAACAAATCAGAAAATGAGATATACGTAAAAAAACAAATCGAATAAAAATACAGCATTTTTTCGGATATCCGTTCCGCGTCTAGTCCTACTATGCTGTTTTGTTTGACTGTGATTAAAATATTATATACTTTTTGTTTTTACAAAAAAGTATGGGGTTCATTGAGTAACTCAATCACTCGATGACCGGATCATTTCATAAGTAATATGTATAATCAAACCTCCAACGACTAAAGCAATAATCAAAGATCCATAGTTTTAAACTAAACAAATCAAACATTTTGGCTGATAAATGTCAATGCCACTTGCAGTTGATTAATTCCTTAATTATCTACATGAAGTCAAGTTTGAATAGCTCTTCGTCAAGTTGCACGTCATGTTGTATGTCTCACTCGTCGTGAATTAAATGACACAGACAAGACCCGAGAGAGAACGATCACAAGACAAACCAAATCTAGATATATATTTATTACGAGGTAGTTATTGATTGAAATATTCAGGATTAGAGTATACCAAATTACCAATGAAGCATATTATACATATCATTCTTTCCTCTTTGTCCGCGTTTTTAGTTATTGAAACTTCTTTTTTATATAAGTTGAAATTTGAATTATTATTTTGCTCAACAAGTCAAAATACATTTACAGTCTTTAAATGCGTATATACGAGTCTATGGCATATTATATAGTATATGGATCTAGTCATATTTACCTAAATATAAGATCAGTTGTG